CCTCCCGCCACTCCCCGGTAAACAAGGCGCAGGCAGGCAAACGGCTTCTTTGATTCGGGGAACTCGGAAGATAAAGAATTACTTTAATCCAAAGAAACCACCCTTCACCCAGGGCAAAGGTTTCCTGCTGATGTTCAGGAAGTTTCCCCAAAGTACACCAAATCCTTGTGCTCATTTTCAGGCGAAATTCCCTTGAATCAAACAATGTATTTTCTCTTTTTGGTGCCATTGGCGTCGTGAGGATCGGTTCGCTCGCCCGGGCCTAGCTCAAATCTTAATCTCGACCGCCCAGCTCTCCGTAGATAAGGCCCACGTCGCGGCCGGTGGTCCGTCGTCAGGCGAGACACTTTTTCCTCATCCCTCTTGCGGACGCTGCGGTCCACGACGTCCACGTGCTCATGCTCATTCCCTCCGATGATGTCTGTTGCAGCGGTCCATCCTCTTCAAGGCGGAGAGCTCCGCCAGGGGCGCGGGCAGCGTGGCCGCTTCGCTGTCCGAGTATCGCTCCAACACCAACACGGGGATGATGTCCACCCCGGAGTCGTTCGTCTCGGCCCAGGACGAGGTGAGTCCCGAGCGTGCACCGGAAACCCGAGTGAGAGTGTAACCGTCGCATATTTGTAGGTGTGTGAACGACATTCTTACACATGGAGGAACACGTGTGTGAATTCCAATGAAAAATTCACCCAATCCCTAAGTGTATGAATGGGAATTCACACACCTACAAGTGTGCGACATTCACACACTTGCGTTTCCAGTGTAGGCTAGTTGTAATGTTAGAAGAAACGATGGGGAGGGCATCTTTTTGGCGGGAGTAAAAGAATAGGGAGAGGCAGATTTTTAGAATGAAGACTGCACATCTTGGAATGCCGGGCACGCACACTGCAACAGTGTTGTGGTCGTCTTGTTTGGCGCACCACCAACCAACGGTCTGGTACGATGGCCGAGATAACTTCCCTGTCTCTTTTTTTTTTGTTGTCATCTTTAGGCGGGCCGGGCGAGTGCTCTAGGACTCGCTTATCTTGTCAGCGCACTCTACTTGTTCTATTAATGTGGATTAGCGATTCGTTGCCGTCACGTTGTGATGCGAGCATTTGAACTACTGTTTCGTACTCTTCCGGTTTCGGATATGGCCATACGCCCTGTTCCGCTCAGTATTGGAACAATGTCGGTACCTATGGCACCGGTACGGTACCGTCAAATTGATAGTAATAGAAAGCAAAGTAACGGTTTTGGTTCGAGTGAGCGGCGCAAAATAGTCGATGTCGTTTCGACCATTCGCGCTCGACTTCGACTGGCCTTTCCTTCTGAGACAGTGGACTCGATGAGCTCGGCTATCTCAAAGCTTCAAAGACAAGGCAATGCAGTTGTTCGTCCCTCGCCCCTCCCCTCGCTGCGATGAGACCAGCCGCTGTGGAACTGGTTGAACTCAGTGTAGTGGACGGTGTAGAGGGCTGAGCTCTGGCCCGGGCTGGCCTGGCCCCACCTATAGAAAACCGGGGTCTATGGGATAGTTGGGACTCGCACGTCTCGAGGTCTTCCCTCGGTCCTCCCTCCACCGACGCGTGCGGTTTCACCAGACTTTACCCATTTCGGTTTCTGAAACAAATTGATTTGGGGGAGAACGTGCTAAAAATTTGACGATTGGGATTTTCAAAAATTATAATGAGTGTTGGTGATTCAAGTACGTTCAGCGATGGCAGTGGCTCTAGCTTGGGAGAACGCGATGGGGTAAGACAGTCGTCGTCGATGGTGGTCGAATGGAACTCAACTGTTCGTGAGTTTAAGTTTAAGGGTGTGTATGTGTATTTAGTGGGTGG